AGCTGGGGAACCTCTGGCTCTCCCTGTGCTGTTGGACTCCAGTTCCATCAGCCCTGTCTACATGGTGTGAGAGCTAATGGCAGTAGTAGTTCAGTCTTTGGAGGGCCAGATGTTCCTCACTTCTGAGGTTCATAAGCCTTTCCCAATAAAGAAGCTGGTTCACCATACAATAGTTTAAAACCCAGTTGGGCATTGTAAGGACCTTATCACATGGCTAAATAAAACATTTTACCTGAACCGAATTTAATTTTAAGTCAGGCTGCATCCGGACCCTATCACAAAGATTTTACCACTGAAATCGTCGCCCAAATGCAGTCCAGGTCCCTCCCTGTTTCCAGGAGTGCTCCAGTGGCCATTTTTCAAGCCAGAAAACTGCTGCTTTCAAAAAGAGGCTCCTGGAAACAGGGATGGACCCGGGCTGCATCTTGATGGTGATTTTGGTGGCAAAATCTTTGTGATAGCGTCCAGACGCAGCCTGATTGAAAATTAAATTCGGTTCAGGTAAAACGCTTTATTTTAGCTATGCGATAAGCCTCTAAGACAGTGGTAGTAGACAAGTAATCTCTTATTTGGAAAATGAGTGTGCTGCAGATGTGGGTACAGCATTTGTGCAAAATTGATGTGCAAGCTAGTTGTGTATTCTCTATCCTTGATTTCTTGTAATATTTAAAACGTTCTTTGGTTGTCCAATTTCTAGATTGTATTCAGAACACATCTATACAGCTAGAATTATTTATCCTAATATGCATGGTAATGCTCTAATACCCTTGAGGGGTTCTCAGTGCAGTCACTTGTCACAAAGACAGAGCTGTCTTAGGAAAAATGTTCTCTAAATATAATATGAACCTCAAGCACTTCCCCTTTTTACCAAAAATACAGCTTATTTATTTATTAGTATTAAATTGTATTCTACCTTTTTGGGAACAATTTGCTGATTTTAAAAAATATATAGATATAAAACACGAATTTGGCAGGTTTTTGGATAAGTGTTAGGTGAAAGACCTAGTAAAATAGTTAACCAGTATTTTTGACTGGAAAAAACTTTTTACTGGTACAGAAGAGTACAGGCATTCAAAACTCATACAAATGGGCATTACCAGGTATTCCATGAAATCCAAATTTATATCATCCTTTTTCTGCAATGAGGCTTCTGTATAGACATAGAATTTTCTGTAAAAATAAGTCCACTGATGGCAACGGCGATGACAATGATTACATTTAATGGCCATAATCCTGTGTCACTTACTTAGTTAAACAACTAAGCAACCTCTCCTAGTCCAATCTTCCCTGGGAAACCTGACAGAAACATTGTTCATCCGTGCTTTGATCACCAGTAGAATGGATCTCCTTCTCCCCATGGAGATGATGCCTGGTAAAGTAAGGTGAGGCAGGAGTTACAGTCATAGTAATAGTGTCAAAATTGTGAGCAAGGCTGCATCTGCACTGCAGGAATAATGCAGTTTGATACCACATTAACTGCCATGGCTGAATGCTATGGAATTCTGGGATTTGTAGTTTCGTGAGAAATTTAGTCTTCTCTGAGAGAGCTCTGGTGCCACAGCAAACTACAATTCCCAGAATTCCATAGCATGAAGCCATGGCAGTTAGATGTCACACTGCATTATACCTGCACTGCAGGTGCAGAGTAAGTAGCAATCATGAATAATGAGTAAATCTAGGTAACTGTTTCATATTTCTGATCACTACTGAGTCATAATTGTAACCCTATGCCAGGATAATAACTCCTTCCATTGCAAACCAACTTTATCAGACATCATCTCTACAGGAAGAAGGAGTTCCTTTCTGCCACTGATTGGAATGCAATTGAATAACATTTCCGTCAGGTTTTTTGCTGAGGGAAGTGTCAGGCTAGGAGAGGTTTATTAGTTAAATATATTTAACTTAGGCTGCATCTGCACTGCAGAAATAATCCACTTGACACCACTTTAACTCCACTGGCTGAATACTATGGGGTTTGTAGTTTTGTGAGACATTGAGCCTTGTCTGTCAAAGAGTTCTGGTGCCACAATAAACTACAGTCTCCAGAATTCCACAGCATTGAGCGGTGGCAGATAAAGCGGTGTCAAACTGGATTATTTCTGCAGTGTGGATGCAGTCCGAATATACTTAACTAAGGGCCTTTACAGACTGCCAGAAATGGTGCAAATTGAGTCCACTTTAACTGCCCTGACTCAGTGCTAGGGAATCATGGGAACTGTAGTTTATTGTGGCACCAGAGCTCTCTGACAGAGAAGGCTCAATGTATCAGAAAAAAATACAATTCCCATGATTCCCTAGCACTGAGCCAGGGCAGTTAAAGTGGCATCAATTTGCACTGTTTCTAGCAGTCTGCAAAGGCCCTAAGTAGCTGATACAGGATTCCACCCAATGACTGTAAAATAAATTTAACAACCAATTTTAATTTAATAATTTTATATTATCACTGCTAATTCTACTATTAGTACTACTGCTCAAGAGTAAACCAACTGAAAATGGCTTATTCTTAAAGCCTATGCAGGGTTCTGAATCTTCAAAAGCTTTCATGTGTCATCCTCCGCAGCTGCAGCAGGCTTACTCCATGAGGCAAAACTATGCCTACCTTAAGAAATACTGTTACCCATTAAAATGTAAAAGTCAACAGCCACTTTAAGGCTTTTAGTATACTAACGTAAAGAATTAAGACAAGCACTAAGATAGCAGTATCTTTATTAACCCAACAGGAAGGCATTTAATAAAACTAATGAACATCACAGGCAGTAGATAAATGGAAGATAATTTAGGTTATTTGAGATACTAGACGCTCTTAATTCTCATAAGCATTTTTAAGCACTTGGCTGAACATTGATTATAAAATCCTGGACATACCTATTTCACAACTCATTCCAGAAATCTGCATAAATGAGATACTGGGTACACAAAAAGTACTTGTAAAAGCAGAGTTTCTTGTGGCTTGGCATCTCACTTGAAACTGTCTTTATCTCCTAACTTCAAATATTTTCAAATATATACCAATATATACCAATAGAGCTTCCTTCTAGGCTTCTGGTGTGCAAACACTAGCACCTGAATTAAAATCCTTCTATCTGCCATGCCAAAAATTATGCATCCTACATCTTGATTAAATTTAAGTCTGTCTTTTTTCTTATTTGTACTGAAGGCATTTTGCAAGGTGCCCTTTCTCGGCTTCCTTTGAGCCCTCTCTCATATTGTCAATTACTGTGTGTTAGCTGTGGTTTTGTGTCCTCGCCAGGCTGAACAGTCAAAGGAGGAAAAGAAAAGGGGTTTAAGTGCGGAAAAATTGATGAGGAAAGCTTCAAAGGATGTGTGTCGATTGCGAGAGCAGAGCCAGAAAGTGCCGCTACAGGTGCAGTCATTCAGGTAAAGAGAAGTTGAATCTCTGGGAGCTTTATAGAATCTGTGACACTATTGAAATTGGCCTTTTTGTCTTAATGCACATCTTTCTGGAATTAGTCAGTGCTTTTTTTGGATTAAATACTTGATCAATGGAATTCAGTATGACATGTTTTATTTTATTTGTTCAAGTTCATGGTACGTTTTACAATTCAGTGCTTCAGGAGATTTAGATTGAGAAAGCCACTGAATAATAATCACCCCAGGAACTTGACATTCTAAGAGCGGTAGCAAAAGGCCTTTATTCTGCATCCACACTGCAGAAATAATCCAGGTTGACGCCGCTTTAACTGCCATGGCTCAACGCTATGGAATTCTGGGAACTGTAGATTTGTGAGACATTTAGCCTTCTCTGTCAGAGAGCTTTGGTGCCACAACAAACCACAATTACTAGAATTCCATAGCACTGAGCCATGGCAGTTAAAGTGGTGTCAAGCTGGATTATTTTTTCAGTGTGGATATGCACCTGGTCTGCAATAAATCCTCAGCCCAGTTTCATCCCTTTTCAGAACACTGGAATAGTCATTCAGAATCTGACCATGACCTGTTTTATGGATTATTCTGCTCCCACAGCAGCCAGCCAAGAATCCTTTTTTAAATACACAGTTATAGCAGTATGAATTAACTTTAAATAAGGTTTGTGGTTTGGTCAGAGGCCTTAGAGGCACTGTCTGGCAGATAAATGCCCCACCCTAAACAGAATGGTTTGAATGTTGGACTATGGACTTTATCACA